GAGAAAATTTTTAATGGGTAACTCGGTAGGATTATAGATATGGCAGCTAGTGTAGAACTTAGTAATAGAGGACTACTTAAATAGGCAATCAAAAGTTGCACATATAGCTAGTTGTACTCTCCAAATATGTATACGGTATGGTGTATACCATACTGTAAAAGTTAATAATAACTGAATAAAAGGAAAGCGACCAAGAAGTTACCTTAACATCGAAAAAAAAAATAAAATATGTTCAACATCTAAAAAAATATATAATCATATATTTTTAAACAAATTTATTAATTATTACAGCTTGGATAAACTTTGAACACTTTTGGATACTTGATATTGAAAAATGCCAAAAAAAGCCTTTGTACAATCATAACATACATCACTGTTTATATGTGAATTATATTTTGACTTATTAATTCAATAGTTTATTCAATAAACTATTGAATAAATAAAGGTCAAATGTGATTTAGACCACTTCAAATTGATTCTTTGTTTAATATAACATTAAATAGTTCATAAGAGTGGAGAAGGGTGTGAAAAATATACAAATTAAAAAAAAACAGCAATTCTATTGGCTGTAAAAAATATAAAAAATATAAAAAGTTAATACTACTATTTGATTAGTTAATATAGTGTATATTTTTTTATAAAATTTGAAAAAATAGAGGGGGGACTATATTAAACAAAGAATTAAATTGGTCTGGTCTTCGATATTTTGGCCTGTTTTGTCCGAATTAGCCCGATCAGAAAATGTCATCAGGTGATTTTCAAGGCAAAGACTAGAGTAGCGATCCAGATAACTATATCCGGATTTAACGCAAATATTATTTAAACAGATATATCCGATCTGATATTAGATCAAATCGGATTATCCGTTATCCTTTTTACAGATATCCTATATCCGATCATAGCAATAAAATTTTAATAACGACAATAACGATATTTAAAATTTTAATAATGGCAATAATATTTAAATTTTTAATAGCTTACAATGATATATTTTTTTGCAATGCTCAATGACAATTTTATCGCTATAATAAGCAAGTATATATAAGTTTACAATTATATTATTTATATAAACTTATACTAATACTAATGCTAATGCTAAATAATAACATATTATTCAAGATGAATATTTTGGTATCGATCGATATTCCTTTTTAAAAACATCATTCTTTTAAAAAGTTCCGGAGAAATTCTTGTTCTCTTTGATGTCATTAAATTACCAGCATCACTGAATAAACGTTCACTTGGGGTGGACGTTGCTGGAACTGCTAGATGAATTCTTGCTAATTTAGATAGTATTGGAAATTTCTTTGAATGTAAGTCCCACCACGTCAAGGGATCTTTTTTGAGACTTATTTCAGGTTGTCTCATATATTCATCAATTTCATCAGCTATTGAGTAATCTTCTTTTTCTAATGATTTTAACAAGTATAGTGTATAGAGTGAATTTGCAGTAACCATAAATTTATCGGATACTTTTTTTCCCAAGTTTTGATTGTTATCACCAGGTTTTTCCTCAGTTTGATTTATCTTCACAGTTTTTTCGTTATTATAT